GCTGGAGTACATCATCTCTTTCTTCTTCCTTAATTCTTCTTCTTCTTCTTTCCCTCTCTCTCCTCTCAAGTTCTTTCATTTCTTTTGCAATTGGATGGCATTGGGCTCAAGTTCATTCATTTCTTTTCGCAATTGGACAACATTGTACTTTCTGATGATTGTGGACTTCAAAAGTGGCCAGGATCGTAACAAATTCCGGTTTCCGAGAATATGACCACTTCTATCGTTATCCCAATATGCCTAGAAAACGAAATGTTAACCTCAGAAATTTTCAGCTATGTATGCGAAATATCAGAGAAACGAAATGCTACTATCAGGAATTTTCAGATCAAACGAAATGCGATTATCAGAAATTTCAGATATGTGTTGCGTGAAAACGAAATACTAATATCAGAAATTTCAGGTAAAACGAAATGCGAGTATCAGAAATTTTCAGATAGTTGTTGCGAGCAAAAAGAAAAAAAAATTCAGAGATTTGACGAAGTCCTACTTGATTTACTAATGAGTAATCAATAGATCAAGCAAGCTGGCTACTTGATTGAGCGGGTCCTCTGAATGAGAGGTCCGCTCCGATACCAAACTGTTGCATACTGTAACGGTGCAGACCAGAACAAGAACCGACCTCTCAATACAAAGTACAAGATAGTGTAGCGGAAGACTTAGATGCCAATGATCTGAGCAATCAATATTGCAATGCCGCCCCGAACATACCTCATCATCATCATCATTCCATGGTGTGAAGGGGTCTGGCGCTCACACAGGAAGACTGCGCCAGCCCCAACCATCACAGACGAAGAAGAGGGGGGTTATACGAAGAAGAGGGGAAGATGGGAATGTCGTCAACACCAAGTCTTCGGCACAGGCCCAAATAGTCCCTCGTCAAAATGTCTGAATCCCTATGTCGAGTCTGGATCCAATGTCGTCAAGTCTCAAGTCACAACTCTCTCTCTCTCTCTCTCTGTAGTAGTCTGCTGATACTGAGAAGTCAGGTGGTGAGAGGGTGAAGAAGAGATGGTGGACTTAGAAGAGGAGGAAGAAGAACTCTCTCTCTCTCTGTGTCCAGTACTAACCTGTGAAGATGGCGCCTTGATGCAGGTACCTCGAAGATGGAGCTGGAGCTATGGCGCCACAGGTAAGTACCGCTGGCCTCCGCCAGCCATCTCTCTCCAACGCTACTACTACCAGCTACTAGCGCCCTGCGCTGAAGACTACTCCTGCAGCTATGAACGCCCAGCGCTGAAGACTACTGCTAGCGCTAACTACTACTGCAGCGCTCCCCCTGAGTGCTGCGGCCGAATCCGGAAGACTACTCGTGCGTACTGTCCAACTACCTACCCGTGTAGTGCATGGGAATTTCCTATGTACTACTCGGCCTGCCTCCTGACTGCAGGGCGAGGCAGTCCAGGAGGCTGCTCTTGCCAATGCCGAAGGGAGTCAGGGGCTGCCGCTGCAGCTCCTGCTTGAGGCTGTCGTGGGAACAGGCTAAAGATAGCCTGTTCCCGAAACCCTGGTTTTGTGCCTGAGTATTAGGGTAGGTCGATCTTATGAGGGCCCGAAAGTGGCCCTCCGTTTCAGGCTGAAAAGCCTCGGGGCTGAAAAACCCTGTTATAGGCTGAAAACGAAATAGGGCCTGCAGGCCCTCGTTTTCAGTTTCAGGCTGAAACGACATGGGGTCTGTTAGCCCTTATTTCTCGGCTTTTAGGCTGAGAATGCGGGACGGGCCCTGCAGGCCCCTGTGGCTACGCAGTATGCCACAGAGAGGCAGGGCTTCAGGCTACGAAATGATAAGGCCATAGTACCGACAAATGTTGTGCTGAGATGATGTATTTAAGGGACGCTGGACCCGGTTTCCAGCAGGTGATGCTTCCCACCAATAGATGGAGCGTTTTCCTAAAAAAAAAAAAAAAAAAAAAAAAAAACATTAAAAAAACAGGCCGCGGCAACGGCCAACTTTTTTGGCCGTGGCGGCCGAATTGCCTGCGGCCTAGCCCGCGGGTGTCACGTAGGCTCTAGGGTAGGGTAGGGATATAAGTCGCTCCGGCTAGTCTGAGTTCCGCCTAGCCTTGGGTAAGCTAGGGCTGGGAGGTCGGCGATTGGGCGAAGATAGCAATTACACTAGCAACGTGATTGACCTTACCATCGCAACATCAGTACCGACGGTTCACATCACAACGGTATCGAATATGGCACAAGCTTTTGGTGGCAAGATGGCCTCCAGTATCTCATCAACAACAACAACCATCTTATCGCGATGGCCAGGTCAGCAGGTCAAGGCCAGGTGGGGCTCTTTGTCGGGAATGGTGAGCCAGGGGAGGGGTGCGTGCTTCGTTTTGGCTTTTTCTTGGGTGGGGATAGGAGAGTACTTGGGTGGCAGTGGGGGTGGTATTCAGTTAGTCGATCATGAGCCTACCCAATTCTGTGATATGCTTAGTCGACTTGGTCATAGTTTGTTTCGCTCGTACAGACTGATCGACTGTCATCATATTGTTTCCACACATTATGCTACAGTTCATATTACTAAGATTTTCTGGTTGCATGGTGAATAGCCTATCTGATTAGGATATATACCTAGCTGATTTGATCATGGCTTGGATTGGGCTATTGTTTACACACTGATGGCTGGCTATTACAAAGTTTATATACATGCCGATATGGTTTACCTGATGTAGATTTCACCGGTAGATCCAATCTTGAATGCTTATCACCACATGGCTACCTAACAAAACGCTGTGTCTATAGGGTTGCTCTCGTCAGGGCATTCAAAACAGTTGAGTACAAATCTCTGTGTTGATAGGGTTGTTCTCTTTTGTGCATTCAAAAAGGTTGATATACTCATCGTAATCGTTCACATCTTATTGTAGATAGCATCAGCCCCTCCAATCACATATATAGCGAACAATTGATTGGCTGACACCCCCCTTGATGTGTATTACATTAGGACGGGGGACGTCGATGAAACTGCTTTTCCTTAGGTTTAGGATACTAGGGCAGGAGGTCAAGTCTTCCCTGGTGCTGGGAAGCTATCAATGCCTCTGCTCTGTGGGAAGATGTTTTAGATACCGTAACGGTGGATTGGGACTTTGGTTTCATACGATCAATACAGATTCTACGAACACATTCACACAGTATTGGATGCATAGCATGACATCTTTGCAGTACGGCATCTCCATCTATCATTGTACAGGGACGCTGGACCCGGTTTCCAGCTGATACTCATCATATCATTGTATAGGGACGCTGGACCCGGTTTCCAGCAGGTGTAGCTACCCACCAATAGATGGAGCCTTCAACGCTGGGGCCCACTTAACGGGGCTGCTCTTATCACCTCCTTAAGTGGGTTTCCCACATACGAAGTTTGAAAAAAAAAAAAAAAAAGGGCTGGG